TCTGTCTCTCTGTCTCTTCCTTCCACGCTTTCTCCCGCGCTTTTCATTAGGATCGCGTGGACACACCGTCGTGATATCTCTCCGCGAGATCAAAGGCGAACGATAAGCCCTGTTTTATGTGGGATTCGCGATTCACGTATGCGACGCGCGTCTGACCATTCTTTTACGCGACTATTCGTGAATCGCGTGATTTACGTATGCGACACGCGTTTCAGTGTTTTTCTTTTTTTTTTTTTTCTTCTTTGAACCGCGATTTATGGATAATATATATATATATATATATATATGTTCGAGAGATAAGATACTCATCCGATGCGATATTTAATTTAGTACTATCTTCGTTCAATTTTGATGTATTGTTTCGCGAATGAACGATTCTCCTAATCGAAGAGAATTGAAAGATACACGAAATCGTGAGAGTACATGAATCACCGCGTGGAAGATAATTTATGGAAATGTAGGGATAATTATCGTGAGATAATTTCGTCGTCGAATCTTGTAACAATGAGATTATGTTTATTCGACGATATAGATTTAACAGGAACAGATTTTTAAATCAGAAATTAAATATTGTATATGAATATCTTCATGGTAAATAGAAGAAGAAATGTGAAGAAGAAATTCAAAATTGTAATTATGATTTTTGTGTTTGATCCTTCCATTATCGACTCGACTTTCTTCGAATCGAACTGACGAAACGAGAAACAAATGTAAAACAAATAATATAATCGGACCCTGACTTATGTCCTCTTGGCTTGTGTCGTTTTTTTTTTTATTTACGCATGTCATTTTTATTAGCAATATCATTAGCATTCTATATTATATTCGTATTTACGTATTAAATTATACTATACACACGCAATAAACGCATATATTTTTACATATTATATTATTATTATTATTATATGCTTGCAAAATATTATTTATAATAACTGGTTAAAATTTTATTTTTACCATCTATGAAAACAATAAGCAAGTTTATAAACGAAATGTATGAAAATATTATTGCTCGAATTTCGCTGCTTAACGTACCATGAATCAAATGACGATTAATTTTCAATAAGTGCAAAACCAGTTGTAAAAGAGCTAGTAGAAAAACGTAAATAAAACGAAAGAAAATAATATACGCAGAGAATTTTCTTTGCATTTTTTGGAAAAGAAATAGGAAAACGACGCACGCACATTCGAATATTAAATAAAAATTAAATATAAAGAAAAAAAATTATGCATCGAATAATGCAAATATGAATCGGCGATGTTCGTGAAAAAGATTTAAATATACCTGTATGATCGATTCACGGTTCGTGAATCGTGCTAGAAAGGGGTTAAACCCGTAAAGGCAAATTACGAGAGGAGGATTTCACAAGAAATTTTCATGGAAGGTGAGAGGAACGGTTCCAGATATCGGCTCAATTTTGTATTTACGACGTCACGATCAAAGGATGCCTTGGCCCTTTCGTTCTTACGACTTGTTCCGCCCGATTATCATAGAAATCGTTCCAGTAAATCAAGCAGTAACCTTGGAACCAGTTGCCCTCGCTGTTTTTCGAGGTACGCGTGTGTAATAACGAAAGAAATAGTTTCGTTTGCTCGAAACAGGTTGTGAGAGGTGACGGAATCTGGGATTGGAGGGGCTTGAAAAGTTTTACCATTTTGACCGGGCAAATGCATGGGATACGAGTTTTATAATATACATAGGGTGTTAATATATTCGTATAGATACCCCTTTGGAGGGTTGATTGATAGAAAAAGCGTTGCTAAAGTTGGTATACAAGAAAATATTGAGTGTGATAAATTGTAAATAGCGATAAAGATATAATGATTAATAATAAATTTAATATAATTTATTTATAATTTATTCAAGATATTCGAGAATATTCTTTAAAGGGTAGATCGTAGAAAAGTGTATGCAAAAATTGATCTTATTTATCATAAACAATTGTATGTCTTTCGTTTAATGCAAACTAGGATTGGTTATAATTTAATAAATAAACTCTTTGACTTTTGTATATCAACATTGCTTTTGACTTCTAAAATGTATCCATCGAGACGCGCAAATATTATATACGTAATCGAAACATTAAGATTAATTGCGAAACAGTTTCTTACACGCAAGAATTTTTATTTATAACAATGTCAATAGTATCCCTTCTTTGAATTAAAGGTAGTCAAGAATAATGGTGCGAGTTAATATATCTATCATCGATAGAAAAGTATGCCGTCTTAATGTGTTTAAACTGCGTATTGATTTTCGAGTTACGGCAAATCGAAGAAAAGGCTTGAAAAGGCAGGTTTTTAACCTCGAATCCGTTTAGAGTTTATTATGCGCTTGACAGAAATTAATGACATTCATGACCTGCAAGAAAAGGTACGCCTTGAATTTCGAGCTTATTGAAACGACATACTCTTCTCCAACAAATTGGTCTCGTCCAAATGTCCTTCGTTCCTATCGAAAAATTTCTTGTGCTGCTTACAATTGGACCGTTTTTATTTATTTATTTATTTTTTTTTCCTCGTAACAAAAGAATCGCACAAAGTTGTCCCTTAATTGTGGCACACGTTTAACAATGAAATTCTTGAGATTTGTCACCATCAATTATTTATTTATTATTATTATTTTATATAATTATTATATAAAACAAATTGGTCTCATTCTTCGTTTCTATCGAAAAATTTCTTGTACTACTTACAATTGGACCGTTTTTATTTATTTATTTTTTTTTTTCTCGTAACAAAAGAATCACACAAAGTTATCTCTTAATTGTGGCATACGTTAGGGCACGTTTAACAATGAAATTCTTGAGATTTGTCACCGTCAATTATTTATTTATTTATTATTATTATTATATATAATTATTATAATTAATTTTTTTTTTTATTTTTTTATTTCGAGATTAAAATTTTTCCGCTCTCGAGAATTATTCCTCGTGTTAATGGTTATTGTAGAAGGATAGCCTACAATTCTCGATTCACTTGCGAAACAGAGCAACTCTTGATTATGTTATTTTCACTCGCATTCTGAGATATATATTCATTTTATGAATATTTTATTTTGAAATGGATTAGTTTACTTCGAATTTATCGATCACGGGAATGAAACGTTTAATTATATAATATTAACATTCTCTAATAAACTTCTTAATAATATATTTTAATTAATTTTCTCATTTAATAACGTTTTATTATTTATCCAATAATTTTAAATTACAAGTATACTTAAGCTTAGCTTAATACCCAATACATTTATTTAATGTTTCAATTATTCAGTATTTCTATTTTGAATTAAATTATATATTTGACTTATCATATTAATTCACAACCATAAAAATATATTTTCCTTACTTCTTCTTGAAAATTATATTAGAAACTAGTCATCTTGGCGTTAATATTAATATCTAATATCCATTTTGTATAATGGAATGCTTCAAAAATCAATCTTACAATGGTTAGAAAATTACTTATAAAATTACTTATAGAAATATAACAAATTATGAAAAGCATTCGAACACTTTCGCTACAACTATATCTTCATCAAAAATTCTCTGTATTGGTAGGCCTCGACGAGTTCTCTCGCTACAGCAACGACAATTTCCAACCGTGGTTTATCGGATGGCCGTATATTTTAATAATCAGCGACGTCAGCCGCGATTATTCACGCTTACCGGCGTTTACATAATCGAGCGACTAAGTGTTCGCCGAGATTGCCCGCTTGACGCACCACGATGATTTATCGCCAGTTAATGACTTTCGATTTCGTATTAATTATAGCAATGTATCTCTCTCTCTTTCTCTCTCTCTCTCTCTCTTTCTCTCTCTTTCTCTGGCTTTCCTCTGATTTCTGCTAATAGAAGCAACCGTTGATCGTTCGTAGGTTCACATTGCAAAGTTGTTATTACGTTCAACACCAGTTTCGTTGCGTAATCGGCCAATGGACACTCGATAAAACAGTTGAAGTCCGATTAAAACAAGAAACGTCGCGATTTTCGATCAATCTGCTAATGTGATTTATATATATAGTTATATTATATATATAGGCTCATAAATATACAGAATATTATTCTCAGTAACTTTCATAAATTATATATTTAATGTGTGTAAGTGTATTATAGTCAGTGTATAATTACAACGAAACATTTTTTTTTCTCTGAAAAATTAATATTTCATGTTTATAGAGTTCAATTTTTATAATTATATTATCACATTGTTATAATGTAATTAATGTATAAGAATGTTCTTGATATTATTTTTTGTAACTATTGTATGCTCGTAGTTGATATATATATATATTCCATATACAACATTCCATATATATGGAAAGTTTTTACGAGATAGAATTAAAAAAAAAAAAAAGTTGCACTTCATCCATGTTTTATACAAGTAGATAAATGATGTTTGGGAAATTACGAGTGTTTTTCATTTGTTTAACAAAGTGAAAAGCTATCAATTCATGTGTATCCATGAAAGTACCATTCAACAGTTTGTTTGGACAAATCAATTTCCACTTCACACCGTTAGTTGGCGAAGTTCGCGCACACTTCAGAGTCCTGCAGAGTTGAAGTCACCGAGTAACTTCATTCCTTCTTAATTGCATGAACCAATTATTTATTCGAGGAGTTGAAATATAATTTCGAAATCTCCGACGCATTATTTACTTTTTCCATAGAAAATTTCACAGAGAAATTATCAAAAAACCTTATCAATTCCATTTCCAAGTTTTTATTATACAATCAGCAATATTCTTTTCATATTTTTTTCACAGAGATAATTTTTCATTTCTCTTTCATTTCTTTTTTCAATACCAATATATTATTTATTCCCAATATATCACACTATATATACATATTAAATTTAATTTCTATTTTATGAGTAAAGTTAATACATGAAATATTTGGATCCATTCGAATAATGGGGACTCTATTATAATATATATCAGAAATGTTTTAATTGCAAATTATAATATATAATATATATATATATATAATGTTTCTTTTCCGTTGCAGCAAGAAGGAGGTCCAAGCGGACCAACGGGGATCCAGCAATGCGCCGGTTGCGGCGGTCAAATAGTAGAAAGATGGTTGTTGCTCGCAATGGATCGGTATTGGCACAACGGTTGCCTCAAGTGCTCGTACTGTGGCGCGGCACTGGCGGAAATCGGCCACTCGTGCTACACCAGGAGCGGCATGATCCTCTGCAAAAGCGACTACAGAAGGTAAGGATGCATTCATGTTTCTCTTCAAACTAGCCCGGCCTTGCATTCAATGGATCTAATGGCACGTAGATATCTTGGGAAATTACGAAACGAACTTATGGTATAGAATAGGGAAATTCGATTTTTCAAGTGGTTTTCAACGCGAATGATATGATATGGAAAAAGGAAATTGAAAAATATAAAATGAGTAACTTGTAATTAATGATTGTTGAGGAGAAAATGTCTGTAACGCTGGCTGCTTAATTCTTTAACACTGTGATAACCGGTTAGTTTCAAGCATAATTTTCACGTTAAGTATTAATAAAATATGTTTCTGTTATGTTTGTGGAGAAATATAATGATTCGCTTATTTGAAAAATGAAAAAAAGTACAAGTAATGAGTAGTTGAAGAAATGCATAAATAAATAAATAAGTAAAACATATTGGCTATTAGTTAATAGCTACGTGGCGCTAGTATCGCGTCACCGGTCATCATAGCGTTAATATTCATGCCAATAATATGCGTTTTCCTTATTGATTTTTATGGATTCAAAAACTTTAATATCTTATATCGTATCTATTCTTATTGTTATGAATAAAATTGAACATTTTAACTTTTAAATGAAAATAAAAAATGTAATCCGATTAATTAGACTTATTGACAAGAAAAGATCTCGAAATATAATTCTTTCAATCAATTTTTGTACAGTGATAAATTTTAAAAAATTGAAACTATTTTTACTGAATTTTATTAACAAACAATCGATCCATGAGATATTTAATAATCAACGTTATCTTCTTATCGTTGTATTTCCTAATATTTCTACTAAATATAGACGTTTATCTGAAATAAAATGTAAAATATTAAATAATAAGCCTAATTTTTAGTACATCTAGATATTCTTCTATAACTATAATCCCTTCATAAATATAATAACTTGATATTAAATATATTCACTAATTATTAATTTATCATCAAAAATTCATTAAACAAAGATCACAATTATACTTCGAGGTCTCTTCTTGTATGTCCAATCAATCTAATTACGTTTTATCCAAATTGGATTAAGCATATTCTTTTCGATAATTCAAACAATGATAAGTTGAATTTTGAAACTTCAAATTCCCTTACCCACACCACACCTTACAATTTATACATTCGATTTCGACTACAAATTACATTTCACCGTTTCTATTATCAATTGCTCGAAACTGCTGGCATTACTTAGGGGGATGACCCGATTGCTCGTCTGAAACGTCCCAGCTCGCAGTCGTTGATTGATCGCGAAACAGGATTACACGGCACGAACGTCGCGTTCCGCGCTTCATTAAATCGCAGACACGCAATTGCCCGACCGATTAATTCCGTGGCCGTGCTCGTATCGGCCTGCTCGATTATTATAACGACGCTCGTCTGACGACCGACTCGGCGTCGGAAGAAGTCGTGGAGAG